ATGTGACGTCACATGTTTTTATCTTTGCTGCGCCCGTACAGCTGTACGCCAGCACCGCTGCACGGTTGCTTGGGGATTGGGGAAACTGTCAACAACATCGGAGAATTTCAACAACATTGGAGGTATTTTCAAAATACCTTTTATAAGACAACGCGCAGTGAAATGGGAGGAACTAGAGTTTATTTTGTCATAAGGTAGTATGATTATGCATGACACGAAGTATTTGCGAGTCTAGTAAGTACTGGATAAATTAGCGTTTGGATGCGCATTGTGAGCCTTTAAAGTACAGCGCGATAATAACTTACTATGAAGGGTTAGTATAGATTTGTTATGAATTGTTGTACCTGTAAAATGCTAGGTGTTAATTATAGAACAGCAGAACATAAAGAATGTAAAATGAATAAACTCATCTAAGAGGAAGTTATCCATGTGAAAGTGTTACTCATCTACCTTTCAGGCCAGGACAATAAGTAATGCATATCACTGCGTGTTGCGCCGGCTGCCTTCGAGCTGGTTGTCATGGTAACGGTGCGGTTTCTTCATCCTAGTATGGCGACTATGATGAGTTGACTCAGGAGCCCAGAGGATGGCAGGATGAGAACCTCCTGCCACAGCGAGTCATCGACCAGTATCAGATGACTCCGGAGATGTGGGAGGAAAAGATCAAAGTATGGTGAGTAGTCAATGACCAGGTATCATGCGCGAGGCCGAGTGAGCGAATGTTATGCAATGCTGGGATAAGTTGAAACAGGTCGTGTGTTCCTGTCAGGCTAGCTATTGGCATAGTAATGACCCATGACTACTGACAGAGCAATGACCCATGGCTATTGACATAGTAATGACCCATGGCTATTGACATAGTAATGACAAATGGCTACTGACATAGTAATGACCCATGGCTCTTGACATAGTAATGACGAATGGCTCTTGACATAGTAATGACGAATGGCTCTTGACATAGTAATGACGAATGGCTCTTGACATAGTAATGACCTATGGCTACTGACATAGTAATGACGAATGGCTCCTGACACTGTAGTGAATGCTGGGTTGGTGATGCTGCAGGTATGCCGACCATCGGAATACGTCGAGGGATGAAGCAGAGCTGGAGTATCTGAAGGTGGCGCAGGACCGCCTCGAGACGTACGGAGTCAACTACTTCCTCATCAGGGTATGTCACCCATACGCAGCCACTCTACATATATATACGGCCGTGGCTACGCGTCCGGTTACCGGACGCCCAGCTCCCAGGCTACGCGTCCGGTCATATATTTCTGATGTGAACCCAACTATATTTTTTCAGTAAGAAACAATAAACAATAAGTTTTTACCATAATATTAGTCACCTTTAGGTATTTTATCAAAAAAATGTGTTTTTGTAACTTTTAAAGCAATAGTAAATCCAGTAAAATCAACGATATGAAAGGGGGCATGGCCTAATCGTGACGTGGATTTGGGAATCTGTACTGAGCTTTGTATGGATGACCGGATGCCTAGCCACTGCGTATATATATATATATATATATATATATATATATATGTCACCTGAAGATTCAGTTGAAAAGTTAAAAATTCATAAAAATTATATCCATCAATGGATGGCGGTGCGTACAGATTAACATCACGTACGTGTGAATCCATGAGTATACCCTTAATGGCGCAGTGGCCTAATCGCTAGAACATCCATCTCCTACACCGGGATTCCGGGTTCGAGTCCCAGCTGGGGAACTTATTTTGGAGAGAAACCGTACGCGTGCGACGCGTGCGAGTACAGGACTTGCTACCGTGAGAGCCTGAAACTGCACATGCGAACGCACACGGGAGAGAAACCTTACGCGTGCGACATATGCGGGTACACCTACACCTGCTCCAGCAACCTCAAGAAGCACTTTCTCACGCACACGGGCGAGAAACCTTACGCGTGCGACGCGTGCGAGTACAGGACTAGCTACCACGACAGCCTGAAAAAGCACATGCGAACGCACACGGGAGAGAAACCGTATGCGTGCGACAGATGCGGGTACACCTACACCACCTCCAGCGACCTGAAGAGGCACTTTTTCACGCACACGGGCGAGAAACCTTATGCGTGTGACGTGTGCGAGTACAGGACTTGCTCCCGCTACACGCTGAAGAGGCACGTGCTCACGCACACGGGAGAGAAACCGTACGCGTGCGATGTATGTGAGTACAGGTGTTCGCGGCCGGCGAGTCTCCAGATCCACGCACGCACGCACACGGTAGAGAAACCTTACGCGTGCGACATATGCGGCTCCGCCTACACCACCTCCGGGCACCTCAAGACGCACTTTATCACGCACACGGGAGAGAAACCGTACGCGTGCGATGTATGCGAGTACATGTGTTCGCGGCCGGCGAGTCTCCAGAGCCACGCGCGCACGCACACGGAAGAGAAAACTTACGCATGCGACATATGCGGCTCCACCTACACCGCCTCCAGCAGCCTCAAGATGCACTTTCTCACGCACACGGGAGAGAAACCTTACGCGTGCGACACGTGCGAGTACAGGACTTGCTCCCGCGACAGCCTGAAAAAGCACATGCGAACGCACACGGGAGAGAAACCTTACGTGTGCAACATATGCGGCTCTGGCTACACCTGCTCTGGGCACCTCAAGATTCACTTTCGCACGCACACGGGAGAAAAACCTTACGTGTGCGACATATGCGGCTCCGCCTACACCTGTTCCAGCAGCCTCAAGAAGCACTTGCTCACGCACATGGGGCAGAAACCTTACGCGCAGGGTTCGAATTTTGGCTGAAAATCTAGTGGACAGCAGGACCACCAACCTCAGAAAGTTGATGGTCCTGCACAAAATTTGGTGGTCCGCTTATTTACTAGCAGTGAGTAACAAAATAGTATACAAAAATAACCATTGGCATTAACAGCATACATGTAACTTAGAGTTGGTCAAATAATATATCTCAAGCTCTCGGAATGTCGGGGGAGCTTGTGGGAAAGGTTTTACTTTCGTTTTTCTCTTCCCCAGTCCACGGTACCCCCATGCATAGATCAATGCTGCTGCACATTTGCAAAGTTACAAGTGCCTATAGAATCTTGATACAGTTTACATTGCTTCTAGATATCTAACTGAATAAAAATTGTGGCTGTCCTATCTTGGTACATGCATTTACTGAACCCATTTAATGTATTCCTGAAAAAAATCACCAGGACTTCATTAAACTTATGCACTGCATTCTATCAGGTAATTTACGAGAGCCACCTAATGAAGTTTGTTGGTGTTTGTTGTGAATTGTCATCTATAATTTATGTTGTTACAGTGGAAGGCTGCAGGACGCGACCTCTTCGACTTGGTGTGTAGAACAATAGGCTTAAGAGAAGTGTGGTACTATGGCCTCCAATACGTCGACTCCAAGGGTTACGTGGCTTGGTTGAAAATGGACAAGAGGGTTAGCTTAAATTTGCGTGAAAAGTGTACAATAGTCGCCATATGTGTATTAGGTAAACGCATATGAGTTCTCATATGCTTTGCTTGATGGTGAGAATAGATATGTTGTGTGAAAATCTTATAATCAGAATTATTTCATCATCAGTTCATGCACAGTTTTTCTCGACACTGAAGAAATAAATTGTTTGAAGAACTAATATATCATGGTCGCATAAAATTCTCTGAAAACGATTTTTTTTTACAGAAGTAAAAGTGATATATGAAAAATTTAATTGCTTTTCTCGTTTCCAGGTCCAGCACCAAGACATTCCAAAGGAATCTCCAGTTCCGTTTTTGTTTCTCGCCAAGTTCTACCCGGAGGATGTGGAGGAAGAGCTGGTGCAGGAGATCACGCGACACCTGTTCTTCCTGCAGGTGAAACAGAGCATCCTCAGTATGGACATATTCTGTCCTGCCGAGGCTTCTGTGCTTCTCGCCTCCTACGCTCTACAGGCCAAGGTAGGGCGCGACACTGGTCGCACGTACCCTAGTCGTATGTTGTGCGGGACCTGGTACATTTCTTAACCATTGTTGTCGAGATGTAGTGTGGTGATGACATTCCGTGTAGGCTCAGGATTCTCTAGTTGAACGTTGCATGAGACCTGGTATAGTGCGCAACCACTGTGATTAAAGTACTGTGTTGTAATAACATCAAATAGGTTGAGGTCATATACAGGTACAGTGCTAACTACTATGGTTAAAGGCTCACAATGCGCATCCAAATGCTCATTTCTCCAGTACTAGACTAGCAAATACTTCGTGTCATGCATAATCACACTACCTTATGACAAAATAAACTCTAGTTGCTCCCATTTCACTGCGCGTTTGCTTAAAACCCACAAGAAAGAGGTGAGTGAAACGCTCAATCCGAGAAAAAATATAGCAAAATATAGTCTCACCTCACAAGTGGATATATCACTGATTTCACCAACATTAATAAAACACCAAGATTTTATGCAGGTATAACATAGAAAATTGGATATAAACACATCGTAACACAATGAAAATGACATCAAGCCGCGAGATTCGTCAAATGTGTAAACTTGTAATTTGCCGCCGGATTTGAAAACAATTGCATTTGAGATAGATTGTATGTCTATGGCAGATAGGTGGCGCTATTAGCTGAGAAGACCTATCGGCACTAGTCCTAAGATTACAACAAACGTTCGTTTGCCAAACTAGTTCGAAAATTGCGTGTTTTGGTGAATACGAAGGTTGTAAGACATTATATCGTTATTCTAGACAATTGCTGTTACTCTAGCAATAACGGTAAGTGTCGTAAAAGTGGGGAAAACACTGGAGAATTCTCGTAATTATTACTTTAAATTAAAGAAAAGCAACAACAATTGCCTATAGATACCTCTTGTTTATATATAGTCTCTCACTTCCTGTAGATATTTCAATCAACAAATCACTATAGTGATCGACTTTAGAAATGTCTGGGCGTAATGTTGCCGTTACCGTGGTGATTTGGTCACGTGACTCCAACGAGTTCACGTGTATCTATACTCTGAAAAACCTGCAACACACTAACATTTTGAAAACTTTACTCTTCGTTGTGTAGTCTTGTCCTATTAAGTATAACTCGTGATTTTTAGTGACATGCCCGCAGCAAACGAATCTGACTTCATCTCTTTGTGAGGGGAAGTTATCCGGGGTCTCTATTTTTTGTCCGCAGGAAAGCGGACGACTGAGAGAGGAACCTGCATCGGGAAGAAATCGTGATCTCAATCACCGCCCGCTCGATGGAACCTTCTCCTCTTCCTTCTGCTTCTTCTTCTCCTCCTTCTCTTCCTCCTGCTCCTTCTTCTCTTCCTTGTCCTCCTTCTCCTGCTCCTTCTTCTCCTGCTCCTGCTTCTTCTGCTCCTCCTCCGTCTTCTTCTCCTGCTTCTCCTCCGTCTTCTCCTCCTCCTTCTGCTCCTCTTTCTCCTGCTCCGTCTCCTGCTCCTCGCTCGGACGTGCAGAGCGAAGCGGGGGAGAAACCGTACGCGTGTGACGTGTGCGAGTACAGGACTTGCTACCGCGAGAGCCTGAAACAGCACATGCGAACGCACACGGGAGAGAAACCGTACGCGTGCGACGCGTGCGAGTACAGGACTGTGGAGAGTATTTACATGTGCAGGTGTGCAGGTGTGCAAAAGGGCATTGACAGTTAACAAGGCAGTTTTTCAACGCTGATCGTTGTTGTCTCCGACGTGTGCAGAATAAGAAGGACTCGGAAGTTTGGCTCGGTGTGACAGCGCTGGGACTGAACATCTATGAAAAAGAAAACAAGCTCGTGCCAAAAATCACATTCCCCTGGAGCGAAATCAAGAACATCTCGTTCACCGACAAAAAGGTGCGGTTGTGCGATGTCTCAAATAGTGGTTGTATAGTAATTGTTTGTATCGTCTTTTCCTTTAGTCACTAAATGGTGTATGTTTCCATTGTTTTATGTATCATCTACTGACTATAAGAAGCTCATTTTTGCGTTCCTGTGTGTAAATTAGTGTCCAACTGGCTGTTGTTCCTGTGTTGTCTGTTCTTAGTGATCGAAGCGGATGCAGAAAAATAGATTTTCCTTTCTTATAATGCCTGTCGTGATATTAGTGGTGACGTCTGCATTAGGAATACTTCATTGCACTGCAAGTTACAGTCACTTGTTGAGCAGAACATCTTCAAGCACTGTTTACGATAAGAGCCACAAAGCTCTGGTAGCCACATGTAAAAGTTAGAGAACCTAATCAATAGGTGGCAGCACCATATGGCTAGCATGCTGTGTTGAGCCTAATGTAGTACTGTGTGAGATGTGCTGTAGTTTCCTGGATATTCCCCATTTTTTTATTTACAGTTTACCATTAAACTAGTAGAGAAAAGTTCACCCGACTTTATTTTCTATTCGTCGAAGCTGCGCACAAATAAATTGGTAAGTAAGTATGTAAGTATGTAAGTAAGTAAGTAAGTAAGTACTGCATGATTTCCATGCTTGATGTGTATTATTCTGCATTGAACATCCTATTGATAACAAACAGAAATTAATATGCGTACACAGCTTCCGCATCACAATAATATACTCTTGAGAGGCCACGTAGAATATCAGGTGTGGTTCAATAGGAAGCAGAGAAAAACCATAAGACACTGCATACATCATTGTAGTCAACGCGAGCCGCCTTGCTGGGTTTTTCATCCGCCTCCCTCAATATTTGCCAAAATTGTTGCATCGCTGCAATTTCTCGTGTTCCTGCCGAATCTTTATCTAGCTGGCACAATCCTAGTCCTAGGTTCTCCTCCCAAGGCCCCTACCCAGCATCCATATGTATTGATCAATGCTGCTACGCATCAAACCATACACCGCGGGTGCAACCACGCTTGATACGCACCAGGCACGTTTGATACAAAGGCACTAACGTATTCAACCTTGCTGCCTCACTTATGATTTTATCCAGAGGAAACAATGAGTCGTATGTGTGTAACTAAAAATTAAAGCATCTATGTTTCTAACAGCTTCCAGTGAACATTCTGGTTGTGACAGCTCGTTGGTAAACTCGGCGCAAACAAAATAATTTTTGATGTGTGTCTAGATATTGTTTCCTTGAAGCTCATCCAGCACTTGTTGTTTCAGATTCTCGAGCTTTGCGTAGGAAACCATGACCTATTTATGCGAAGACGGAAACCGGATTCGATGGAAATCCAACAGATGAAGGCTCAGGCCAGGGAGGAGAGAGCACGGAAACAGGTGTGACCTGAACTACAAGCCACGATACACATTTTGGTCATAACACGTCCAGGCAGTATACGTAATAAGATACCACATACATAAAATGCAAGTGAAACACATGTAATGTTGCTATAACTATAAGCTACGATACACGTTTTGGTCATAGTACGTACAGGGCCATCTACGCAATAAGATACCACATGCATACAATGCCAGTGAAACACGTTATGTCGCTGTAAGACGTACCTTCTCGTATTCTTTCATCGTAGATCAAGAGAAACATAACGTAATGTCGATATAAGACGTACCTTCTCGCATTATTTCGTCGTAGATCGAGAGAGAGAAGTTCACGAAGATGAAGCAGATGTACGAGGAGAGCTTCCGCGAGAAGGAGGAGCTGCATCGGAGGCTGCTACAGGTCGCAGAGGAAGCAAGACTTGCCCAGGAAGCCATGGTGCGCACCTTAGTATAGTCAGGAAGCCATGGTGTGCAGTTTAGTATAGTCAGGAAGCCATGGTGTGCAGTTTAGTATAGTCAGGAAGCCGTGGTGTACAGTTTAGTATAGTCAGGAAGCCGTGGTGTACAGTTTAGTATAGTCAGGAAGCCATTAAAAACTCATACGAAGTAAACACTTCCATGCAACCAATTAACCTTTGACAAAAGTTGTGTTATGAGCAGGGAAACACCATTGTCACGTGGTACATACCAGCTACGTGGAATAAGCGTATCCTCTCAATCTTACACGTTACACATCAGGAGCTAGCTCCGCTTTTATAGGCAGTTCATAAATCTGAATATTATAAAAACGTTATTTGTGGTGAGCTACAGTGTCATTGACACTTTCATTGTTCGTGTGGCGAATCATGCGTTGAGGGAGTTCATGCAGCTCTAGATGTTTTGGAAACCCCTTCTACGTTGAGGAACGGGTCGTATTATGCGCTCCCGTTTACAAGTTTGTCTAAACTGCCGTTGCGATAACCGTAGTATTTCAGCGTAATATGAGGGGAAAAAGTGCCGGTCAGGAGGACCGGCAGTTTCGTAGAGATGGTGGCCCGAGCAAAAACTTGGTGGGCCTCCGGGTCGGAACTAATTTCGAACGCTGCCGGCGGCACGGGAGCGATTTTTTTGCTACCAAAATACGCTACTCTGTTGTTTCCCAAAATGCAGTTGGATGCATGATGGATGGCCGATGTCGGAGGGAAATTGTTAGCAACAAATTTTCAAATCGAAATACGACTAAGGTAAAAGAGTACAAGTGTACTTACCAACGCGAGCAAGCATATAAGTTATCCAGTTTTCGATCTATGTGCGTCAGGTCTTGATTGATAGCCCCAATTGTGAGTTTGGAGCGATGAAACAGCGATCCTCGGCGGGATAGGAGAAATTCCACGTTTTGTATAGGCAAGTTGCTCTGACCTAACCCACACCAAATCCACCAAAATTGTCGGTGTGGGCATTGGTCAGAGGAATCTTGGACTAGAGGTATGGCAGCCGTCGCCTTTGTAGTTCCTTTTTGGCGTTAAGGTTAGGGTTAGCTTTAGGGTTAGGGTTCTAGCTCATCTAAACTCTCAAATCGTGAATTTATTTCCAAAGGCGTTATTTCGAAATCTGGCGCCACGGCCGCCATCTTTGTCTCGTTAAAAGTATGAAAGCGAATGGACTGCCGTACCCGTAGCCTCGAGACATTAAGATACGGCTGCCGTACCCGTAGCCACTGCCTTTTTTAAATTAAAAGACTGAAATTTGAAATGTTTACAGTGGTTTATTTACAGTAATACAAAGAACATATTCAGTGACTACTAATGAGCTTTCAGAATTATCACAGTCCTCCCTGGTGTCCTCACTCTCACGACATTTTTAACGGTTGGCAGGGATTTTCGGATGATACGTCCTCTTTACACTCGCTTTACATTTTCACGGCGAGAACATTTCCCGCAGGATTTCACGAGATATCTCTGGCGGGAGTAGGTAAGGACAAAGGACAGAGTTATAATTCGAACAAGTGAACATTTAGCTACACATAGATACCAAGATGGAAGCTGTTGGATGTGTATTCGTGCTGAGAAGGTGTGAAATGAAGCGTGCGTCGAGCGAATTTTGCGATCACGCTTTCCTACCTGCTCTCTTATTCATGTTGTTTTTGCACAGGGCGGGCGTGCGGTGTACTTGTGTGTTGCAGATGAGCATTTGACCGGTATTTACAGGTGATTATAGGCGAAATAGAGTAGAGAAACATTAAGACTTTGGTAATAAATACATTTCGCGTTTATTTAGCTTCTTTAATTTTATTGAGACGTTCCAGGTGCCTGTGATTCATGCAGTTGCACGTCTGCCAATTTTTTTTTTAACTTTTGCTGAAAAATACGGTTATCCCATGAGGCCGTGCTCTGGAACGAACTAGTTAGTATATAGCAGAATTTTCAGGGAGTCACACGCACTCCTGCATATGTCAAATCAAAAAGGCCGACAGTAAATCAGGGAGTATGTGACTGAAATCGCGTCAATTTCGCACCCTGCTGTACTGTACACATCATGAAAACTCTGTGAGCTTCATGACTATATCTTTCCAGTTTTTGTCTAATTCAAATCTTAAAATAACCCTCGATCTAGACCATGAACACAATTGTACACGTATTTAGTAAACTATCTTTTTCTTTCATTTAAAAGTAGTGCGTTATGAACATGACACTTAATTTTGGCATAACGAACAAGACAGTTTGTCCACTTTGTTCCAAGCTATCATACTTTCTTCTGAAGGAATTATGCCTTCATGTATATTAAGAAAACAGGAGTCTGATTCCTAATAATGCATGCAGTCCATGTGAATTTATTTAACTCATGCAGTGCTTATTAATCTTAGATATAGCAATAATACTGCAACATGATTGGCTAATTTATACTCGTAAAATAGCACGTCAAAGAAGTATGTACCTAAAAAAAAAATTAAAATTGTGTTTTTAGTGAGCCTCAGCATCAGTGTTATGATGAAAGTCAGTATGACTTAAAATATGGAAATTTAGACTTAATTTAAAAGCAATCTACATGAAACTAGGCAATTAATGTTTTTACTGTGATGAACGTTTTTTCGTGGAATTGCCCAGAAAGGTATTTTATGCACGCACGCACGCAGCATTCTCGCAACGGCGAGTGGTGGGAGCGGGCTCAGTTCTACATCAGTTTTTGCGAAGCAAGTTGATTATTACAGTGACACAACAGTAGCAGTGTGATAAAGAGGTAGTTTTTTGTGAATGTGCATTTATATTATTTCAGTTTTTAGCTTATCTGACGAAGTCAGATGCAAGCTTGTAGAATCGCATGAATGTCGGTCTCGTGCATCAACAGTGGCACAAATCTTAACCCGCTCGACGTACGGTCACGATATTCGGACGTCGGGGGGGGGGGGAATCGTGAAAAAGAATCAGGATGACAAATTTGGGGTCAAGGGTCAAAGGTCAAGATGTGTAAACGGAGGGGGAATGTTTTCCCCCTTAACTTAAGGTATAGGAGGAAATACGGAATTGCGGCACAAATCTTAACGGCTCGACCTAGGGCTCTTAATATTCGTGTATAGTGTGATGGGCAGGAAACCCATCACCAGTGCGAAATGGAGGTCACAGGTCAAAGTGCAGTGGGGGAAAGGTCAGATATCAGGCATTTTCTGGAGGACATGGCCTAATGGACAGAGTGGAAACTTTTTTTTGTTTTCAGCGCTGACCTACCATTTCTATCACTTTATTGAAAGGACCATGAAATGTGCTTTCCACTGACGTGCGAAGAGTAAGTGTCTGATAACCTTTTGACCCTTAAGAGTAAACCTGGATTCCTGAACTACCTCAATGACGTCACAGTGTTGTCATATTCATGGCACATCTATAATCTAGAAACCCAATAAGCCTGCATAGCCGAATGCGTAGAGCACGAGCGTCACGGCTGAAAGGTCAGGTTAAGACAAACTCCGGGTAGACGATGCGTGTTTCTGAACTCGGGTTATGTGTTAACTCGGGTTAGCTTAACTCGGGTTAAGGTGACTCCGCGTAGATGAGGCTTTAGTTCTCACACATGCGCAGTAATGCAACTACAGAGTTTGCTATTATACTTTCAAAAACGTCCCTCCTTTCGAAATTAGTATAAACTAACGTAACTTAGATAATGTAAAAACTTCAGACACCTAATAGAAAGGTTGATAGAACGTTGATAAACTTATCACCTCGTTGCCTTTACCATAGTGTAAACCCAGCTTAAGCTGAAGGTAGTTGGTGATTAACGTTGATCTTTTTTCCTCGCAGGAAGTCGAACGACAGACGGGAGAACCTGCGCGGGGGAAGAAACTGCTTAGCTTCCCACCTGTGTGATGGAGTCTTCCCACTTAGATGTACCGCCTGCAGAAGGAGAGAAACCGCACGTGTGTGATACGTGTGGACACAGATTCGCGCTAGAGAAACATCTGCGTACCCACACACTCATTCACTCGAGAGAGAAACCCTATTTGTGTGATATGTGTGACTACAGATGCTCTCAGATGTGTGAGCTGAAGCGACACAAACGCACCCATACAGGAGAGAAACCTTACGTGTGTGATATTTGTTCATATGCGTGTTCCAAATTAGGTAACATGAAGGTGCACTTTCGAACTCACTCAGGCGAAAAGCCTTATGCATGTGACACTTGTGACTACAGTTGCGCTCAACTATCCAATCTTAAGTCACACAAGCGAACTCACACAGGAGAGAAACCCTACGTGTGTGATATTTGTTCATATTCATATTCTCACTTGAGTTGTCTGAAGGTGCACTTTCGAACTCACTCAGGAGAAAAGCCCTATGCATGTGACAAATGCGAGTACAAATGTACGTCATCCTCTTCTCTCCAGTCACACAAGCGAACTCACCCAGAAGAGAAACCCTAGAAGTGTGACACATGTGACTACAGGTGCACTCAACTATACAATCTTAAGGCACACAAGCGCACTCACACGGGAGAGAAACCATATGCGTGTGATATGTGTGATTATAGATGCTCTAGTATGACTCGCCTCAAGGAACACAAGCGCATTCACACAGGCGAAAATCCTTAAGCATGTGACAAATGCGAGTACAAATGTACGTCATCTATATTTCTTAAGCAACACTAGGGCATTCATACAGGAGGGAAACGCTATGCATGTGATACGATTGACTACAGCTGCAGTCAACCAGCAAATCTCAAGACACAAGCTAACTCACATGGGAGGAAAGCCCTAGACACGTGATAGCACACTGCCAATGACATAGCTACTGCTTGCACGTGATATGTGTGGATACATTTGCTCTCCAGGATCGCTGCTATTCTCATATGTTGTTGTAACCCCCCCCCCTTCAGGAAGCCATGGTGTGCAGTTTAGTATAGTCAGGAAGCCATGGTGTGCAGTTTAGTATAGCATGCGAATTCGGTTGAAGAACTCCAGTAATTATTGACATTCGTTAACTTGAAACCTAGTGCAGGCATCTATGATTGATATTTTCCGTGCATCACTCACCCTCATTTTAATGTTCAGTTGTGTTTTTTTAATATAATATGTATTTACTTATATATTTGTATATGCTTATAAGTTATGTATGCTACAGTCTATACTGTATGTATGCCGAGAGTGACAGGCCTGTTGCACCACCACGGGTAAGTCTGTTGTGCTCTGTTGAGGGACCATTAGGGATGTGGAACCGTGATGTGAAGTGTGCTCATGTGGCGATCGTGAGTGACAAGGCTGTTGCGGGTTATTGCAGCGACAGGCAGAGAAGACGATAGATCTGCTGGCAGAGAAGGCGAAGGTGGCGGAGGAGGAAGCTCTTCTCCTCACACAGAAAGCCGCCGAGGCCGAGGTCGAGATGCAGCGGGTGCAGATAGGTGCGATAAAGGTACGGCATGCGACGATAAACGCAGACCTTGCCAACTCTTACGATTTTTTCGTATTCCTTACTAATTCCAATATGTTTTTACGAATGTACGATCAAACTGAAAAAACTTTTTACGACTTGGAAATTAATGTGTTTTTTACATTGTGAGCCGAGAAATATCTGGCGATTGTGGGCGCAGCCATATTGGATCACGCGTTCACGTTGTTCTTGCGTGATCTAGAGTTAGTCCCATCATTCATTGCGCGCATAACATACAAACAAAATGGCCACCTGCTGCAAGAAAAGAAAAACCTTACTATTTTCATGAATCACAGGTTGGCAGATCTGTAAATGTATGAGGGTGTGTATACGTACAGGTGTGTTGATAGCAACTAACAGTACATGCGTCACACGGTCGTTTCGACATTGGTGTTATGTGTACATATAACGTATAAATGTACATGTACATGTTTGCAAGAAGGACAGAATTAGTGTAAGCATTTCTGTGTACATTTAGAACTTTGGGTTTAAATTATATATCAGAGATGGCTAAAGTTATACAATGTAAAGAAAATAGTATGATAAAATCAAATGCCTTTAGGGGTGAACACAAGGAACATATATTAGGAATGATTAGTTCAGATATTTTGTAGGTGGTGTGATTGGATAGCTATATTTAACCTGCTAAGGTTACCCTAAGCTTTCAAGTAATATGCTTAACAGGCTTTAATTTGCGGTGCATTGTGAATACATATAATGAGCAATCGACCACATGTGGCCCCATCTAATGTTTAGGCATGCTTGAAATGAGTTCACTGTTTTTTTTTCAGACCGAAGAGGAAAAAATGCTTATGGAACAGAAGGCGAGAGAGGCAGAGATGATTGCACGACAGATGGTAGAAGACTCTGAACAAAGGTATGAATATAGCAAGAGAGAGACAGATATATTTACTTATACACACATGCACGCACACACACATAGCACGCACACACACATATAATTAATGCGTTGTGGGGATGGCAGCCAGAGTCTTATGTACTGAGAAAATCAAATTGGTCTCGAGTAACAAGACCTTATTTTTCAAGGTGTACAAAACTGTGAACCCAACAAAACCATGCAATAGTGTTTTGTTTGTATACATATTTGTATGTTTGCTTTATTTAGAGCACAGGAGGCAGACATGCTTAAAGAAGAACTGATCAAAGCGCGAATAGCGGAGAAGGTGGCAAGAGACAGGCTGGCATCACTGGCTGAGAGCGCTGGGTTTACTGTGAGTAATCTGTGAAGATCTGTGCTTGCACTGCACCTTGCACATAGATGTATTATATTTTTTAGCCTAAGCTGTGGCCATTAGTATCTATATATCATTTGATAACGGTAGTATTGGTAGTAATTATAAAGATAATGGTGCTAATTATAGTCGTGATGATGGTGATGATTGTCGTAGTCGTCATAATGGTGATACCGATGCTATTGCTCAAGATGAAGCTAATATTGTTGATAATATCAGTAATTATACGTGTAAATAATTCAACTCGTCACTGTCGCCCCTTGCAGTACTCGGTGCCAAGGAACGACTACGCCGTTCAGGCTAGCAGCTTTGTGGTGCCACCTAGTGGACTGTCCGGCATCACGTCCGTCAGTCTCCCTGTCGTAGCGGAGGAGGACCTGTGTCATGACGACGCCGGCAGCGCGGGGGAGACGACGGAGCTGATGATGGAACAAGACATGGCCATCGAGGACCTCTCACTCGAGATCGAGAGAGAACGGTAACTACGTTCTTCACTTATGTGTTTTGCGATGGCGCCTCCCTTGGTGTCAAGCATGGCATGCTTGGGAGGATCTATGTGGTGTATACTCGTCACTGTTTGTTCTGTCATTGGGCTGTCTCGCAGAATTGGTAGATACTATCTTAACACTAACGTGAGTGTAAGATTTGGTTTCCCTCACAGGTGTGTGATACACTGGTCACGCGCAACAGCAGTTTCAGCTCACATTTCACTCGTAAAATTTTACGTAAATATTATCGTGACACAGCGTACTGTAGTGGCATTTAGCGCACGTCATCAGATATCTTATTACTTCATACAATGTTGTTGACATCACGATTTCAGAATTAAAAAAATTATTTGTTGACTTGGAGTGAGGAGGAATGCAAAATATCCTTTATGTCATAGTTGGATATGTCCTACACTATATTCGTACTGTATCTCGTCATAGTATGTGAGAACACGGTTTTCACACTACCCCTTGAAATGACACTCTTACGTGTCTTTCACCAATATATTGCCACATATCGAGCTTGATTTTGGCATCGGTTCGTGATGGTTTTCGTCATTGCACAGCGTTGTTGCATGGAGCGTGTCTAAAATCTCGCGTTCCTTGTATCGCAGGGTTGAGTATGTGGAGAGAAGTCGGAGTCTGCAAGATCAGCTAAATGATCTGAAGTCTGAGATTGAAGAGCTGAAGTTAGAGGACAGACAGACGAGCATGGACAGATTACACGAAGAGAATCACCAGAATGGCGAAACGAAGTTCATCACCTTGAAAAAGGTAAGTCCCTCTGAGCGGCAATTGACGCAGTAGCTATTACAGTAAGATTGTCTAAGTGGACAGTGCTTGGGTGGTTACTTGAGTGTATCATTTAGCGAACTGCTACAAGATTGTTATGATGATTGTTTGAAAATGGGTTTGGGTGTTTTGCAAATAAGTAGAGGGGAGATCGTTTATGAAATAAGTGAGTCATTCACTCAGTCAACTCCTAAATAGACATTGGTCTTGTACAAAGAAGAGTGATTGCTTTTCTGTTTGTGTTTTCAGATCCGGTCTGGCACTACTAGGGCACGAGTTGCCTTCTTTGAAGAGTTGTAGACAGAGAATACCTGGAGGATCTCTGGGGGATACCAGAGGGATAACTGTGGCATTTCTGGTAGGAATGCAGGAAAAGCTGTGAATTGTGTTTTGCACTGTCATACTCATTCCTATTCTACATATCCATGTTCCTCCTGTTTCTTTCTGTCTCCCTTTCTCCGCCCCATTCTTTCTCTCTTTTTATCTCACTATCTCTTCCCTTTTTGTCACTCTTGGCTGTTCTCGCTCTTTGTTTCTTTGTGTCTGTATTCATCATCATCGTCATCCTTTCCTTGGTTATGCCTTCTCTATCACAGTTTTGATTCTAATGTTTATTAGCTTGATCTCGTCACTGAATCACGATTCAGCGGAAAGCGTCAAATTCAACGCACGTCCTTCTGCCACACAGGGTCGGCTACCGTCCACTAACCTGCTGCATTCTGGTGCCTTAATTTACGCTTAATTTATACGTCTAATTATGCATTGAAATCCCCAGTGCCTATCATTCTGCAAAGTCAAAGGATGTTGCAAAAGTTCGAGGAACCTATTTCATGCGAATACATTATTATTTTACTGAGTTTATACGTCCAATTATGTCTTGAAATCCCAAGTGCCTATCATTTTGCAAAGTCAAATGACGTTGCAAAAGTTCGAGGAGCCTATTTCATGCGAATACGTTATTGTTCCATTATTGCTGCGTAGCAAACTTTTCGCTTTGCAAGGCCCTGCGGCAATACTATCCAATGCACCACATCAATCCGTGTGATTGTGTGTTGCGTGGGAGGGGGGGGGGTGAGGGGAACCTTGAAGTACAACGTAGCCTAAGCATATACCTCTATGGAACTATACAATGAAGAGCAACAGCAATTTTTGTGATTTATTGCGAGTGGTTTTTATATATAGGGTTGTTTCTACCCAGATATCTCGTAGGTCCTGTTGTTTATTGGTTCTACGGGTTGAGCAATCCCGTGCCTTGTTTCAAAATAATCTTCAAGAATCTGTAGTTGTTTGCGATAGTATTGTCGCAGGGTCGTCGGCACGCAGAAACCCCTGTCAGACAGAAGGCGTCTCTGACGTCAGAGATTAGATCACTGATTTCGCTTGTCTATGTCGTTCATGCGCTTATCTTGGTTGTAAATAGTCTGATGCGCTTGACATAAATTTCGTGCTGACAAGTGGACAGCTCTATTTATTGTCGGCGAAACGAGAGCGATACTCGCGCGTGGCGAGAGAGTGAGCTCACGTCAAAAGAAGGGTGTGCTAGATCGCATCAGAAGATAAAACACTCATTGTCGATTTGGTTACCTCTTAACACTACAATTAAGCTTCCATGTATGCTCTGATTTATGCTACAATTATGCTTCCAATTATGCTTCAATTTGCACTAAATTTATACTTCCAATTATGCCTTGAAATCCCCAGTGCCTATTATTCTGCGCATCCAGTCAAAGGAACCTATTTAATGCGAATACATTATTGTTCCACGGAACTTGTTTTGTGTTCCATGTAACGTGTTGTATTCCCATGGAATTATGTTCTCTGAATGTCTGATCAAAACATTTTGGTTTCCATCTGATTTCTCGCTGAGCATTCGTGCCAAAATTCGAGTTGTGACTACCAAGAAGAGCCGAGTGCGGTTGAATCTGGTGTTTTCTGCTTGCGTGTGTGTGATTCGAAGTGTTTATTTTGCGAGGTGGAGTGCGGGCACTTCCCGGAACAGCACTGGTGCAGCTCTCGCGTGTATCTAAGAAGAATCGAGGCATCCCGTGTGGGGATGCAGTAGATCTAGAGTTGCTTTGCGAAAGAGCAATGATTGGAGTTGAACTCTAAGGCATCTTCTGTAATCTATTGTTGTATACCGAAACATAGGTCGTATGCAAGAGTAAGATAATAACCCACTTATTATTTTAAGAGTAAGATAATAACCCACTTATTATTTTAAGAGTAAGATAATAACCCACTTATTATTTTACTCTTGTTATTATCTTACGCTTGGTCGCATGCAAGAGGAGTATATTATAGAAGGTGTACATGTACAGTATTGGTATGGGTGCGTGCGTGCGTGCATGAGTGTGCGTGTGTAGATGTGTGTTTGTGTGATGTGTATGCACGTGTTCGGTAACATTTTACAAATTCACTCTCACCAGATATTTTAATTTGTCTATACCTTTTATTATTCTGCAGTTACTCTTGCAGATGGGTTGTCGTACAAACCCAGGTCATGTCATCGTAGAGGTGTTGTTAAGGGAGCACACTTAGTTCCTACCTGTACAAAAGACCACGTTTATCACTGCTATCGACTCCACTGTCAGCGTGGCACCTTAAGACGGTGTGAAAAATTCAAGCGAGTTGGGTTTTTTCGGTTAATATTTCGTAAGCTATGTTGTCTAGACTAGCTATTTCAGGTTGTGATCAGCCAATTCTATATCTGTGCACTAGTTATGTTGTTCAGACTGGCTATTTCAGGCTGCATCCAGCAATGATGGGTAGCCGTGTATCAAGGAGCAGTAGTTTGGCATGCAGTGCAATGGCACAGCTAGACACACAAGTTTATACCAACTGTAGTATTTCCCAAATCGCAAGTGCAATTCATCATATATTGAGGTGACACCTCACCATTCCTCATCCTTTGTTTCTGCCTCTGTCTCCTCCTCCCCCCCCCCCTCACACACACTCTCTCTCTCTCTCTCGTAACGATTACCACTATACTTCTATGTTTTTACCTAACTCTTACTATCCTCTCTCTCGGTTACTCGAGTATTTCTAGTTGTCAGTGTGGACTTCCGTCCACATCCTAGTTTACCTGCTCACGTTACCTGAAGCAATGTGCCTTAACAGGTCATGAGATTTGTAATGTCGTCCCAATTACTATTTACTCGTACGCGGCTTACTCGCGAGAGCAAGCAGATGTTACGCCATAAAACGTGGTGCTGGCATCAATCGGCTGCTTGACGTGTACTGGCCGGGGTATAGATTGTAGAAGTCTTTTTTTTAAAGGGTTCGTTACTGTGCGGTCTTGTACCATTATCGTCATTGTGCCAGTATCTTTTTCGTCACTGTCGTCATGCCATCATCATCTTTATCTTCCCGCCATCGTTATCGTCGTCATCATCATCATCATCATCCTCATCATCATACCATTAGCATTGTCGCCATCATTGCCATCGTACTGTCTTCATCCATTCCATCATCATCGTCATCGTCTCATCATCGTCATCGTCTCATCATCATCATCGTCTCATCATCATCATCGTCTCATCATCGTCATCGTCTCATCATCGTCATCGTCTCATCATCGTCATCGTACCATCATTGCCGCCGCCGGACCATCGCGGAGTACTTGATCTCGCACGCAGCAGGAAGTACGAAGCGTTTACATTACGCTTATGAAGCCAGTGATGAGAACTGTACATGTGCCCTGTGTTGGTCAGTCATGTCGCGATCGAAGAACGAGAGGTCACTTTGCCGAAACAGTGTGCGCGCGTTGAGATGGTTGTGAAATCTTCTTGGTTCGTGTATTCCGTCGATTGTCTGTCTACTGGCGTGAGTGACTGACTCATTCGTTATGCAGCTACGCTCGAGACACGTTAGTAGTAAGCAACAGGAAAAAGGTATGGTGGTAGGCCGTTGCGCGTGATTGGGTGGGAAGCAAATAGAACAGTCGATACAAATGTTGTCAAGGTAACCAGTAGAAGATATATAGTCTACAGGCGATAGTAGACAGACTGAAGTTTATGACATGTTGGTGCTTTATGATACCCAGCGATCAGTATTTTTGTAGAAAGTTTCTGATATCACCGTGAAATGTGAACTATTTTCGGTACAGAAGATGGTGGTGTTTTTTTATATTTGATTGTAAAGTATTGTAGTTTTACAGTAAAAGATATATAAGTTAATAATGTAAGCTGTATGGTTTATTGTATGATTTTACCAATATGATACTTTTGAGTGCGTGTGTGTGTGTGTGTGTGTGTGTGCGTGTGTGCGTGCGTGCGCGCGTGCGTGCGCGCGCGTGTGTGTGTGTGTGTTAACTGATTGAACAGGAACTCAATGAAAGATCTTAATGATGAAGCCATTTGTTCAGGATTCAAGCATTTTTGCATACATAGGCCTATATATCTACATATGTTAAATACAGGGTAACATCATATAAATACAATGAAGATGAATATATACCTATATATTTATATACAGTATTTTTAGCTCCTCTTGACATCGTCAAGCTGAGCTATTGCCATGGGTTGTCGTACGTCCGTCCGTCTGTCCTTCCGTCAACATTTGGCTACGGTCAGCAAGAACTCAGGAACCGTTTGACCCACATGTTTGAAATTGAGTATAGTTGTTACTGCTATGCTCCCATATTGAACGTCCTATTTTGGAGCACGCCAGTCGACGTACTTTAGAGCCACGGCAATTTTTTGGCAAAAATGAGAATTGCCATTAGTCAGTTCAGGTTCAACGGATTTTGCTCATTTTTGGTATGTGAATGAATAAGGGCTAGGGGTTTTAATATTTACATTTTTTTATGCAAATTAGGTAGGTTTTGGCAATTATATAGCATATTATATAGACACGCAGATAACAAACAGTCTGTGGTGTCACACTCGTCTGGTTCGTTTTACAAGATTTCATTGACAATATCTTTAATGCATTGGTATTTCTTCTCCACCCTGCCGATAAAACGTCTATATTAGAGTAAAGTTTTACAAAACATGTCGGAACGCAGCATAACCTATTTATTTCGAACGCAATCGCTAAGAAACATCAAAGCGGGTATAGCGCCATCTACCGTCACAAATTGTGATTCATTTTGGTTTATAAATTATTATTGCGATATACAGATGGCAACCGTGTACTACCGCCTAGAAAAACCCATACGAAGTAAACACTTCCATACAACCAATTAACCTTTGACAAACCTTGTGTTATGGGCAGGGAAACACCGTTGTCACGTGGTATATAGCAGCTACGTGGAATAAGCTTATCCTCCCAATCTTACACGTTACACATCGGGAGCTCCGCTTTTAGGCAGTGCCTAAATCTGAATATTATAAAAACGTTAAATGGCGATCATTTAGGTATAACGCCATCACTCGCCCACATCTCTGACTTTTACATCTCAAACATATATTTTCACATAAAAAATTACACATAATTATCAAGAGTATATAATGAGAGTTCTCCCATATATACTCTTCGTTTCTATAATGTACGTCGATGGTTGCTCAATTAAAACTGACTTCTTCTCACTCACTCATGTGTGTCCTTTTTTGTGGTGAGCTACAGTGTCATTGACACTTTCATTCTATTATAAATACAAGCCTTCAAATCAATATATATTCACGTATAGAGCCAAACAGATATAGACAGTTCATTGAGACTATTGCATATTAATATACCGATATAATAATATTATTAACTACGATAAAATAGCGACGTAAAATTAACTGAGAGAACATCCCAGATTCGTATGAAAAGTAGTAATAGCTCTTTATCAGTAATGCAGCGCCTTCAAAAACCTCTATTTCATTTGATCTAGGGCAGCTTGAAACAACCAGACGCCTAGAATATAATCGGTGCTATTAAATGATAATTAGGCTGTCCTATCTTCTGATCGGATGATAACGGCTCGTTTTCTGCAAGAGTATAAATTATGATTCAAATGATATGGCTCATAAAGCGTTGCTAAGTGTTCTTTTACTATGTTAGCTATTGCTATTGCCACTTCTATACAAACAACTGCATCGAACGGCAGCGATATTGCATATATATCGTCTGATAGCGCGGATAAAAAATAAAGGCGCAGCTAAATATTGCGACATAAGCTTGTTAACTCGTCAGGCCTATGCTGACGTTATCTTCCTCTGTAGCATATTGAGGTGGCGAGTGTCCCACCAAGTCCGTTGCTGTGCTACCGTTATTTTTTCCTTTTCTTAAATTTTCACCCAGATACGGTCTTTGTACCCGGATAATCGTCTATTTGGCTTTGTATTTCAGCGCACCGATACCGTTGTTCGTAGACTGTGTGTAAACAGCGAGCAGGCACAATCTGCCTACTAAACTAGTCCTTATGTTTACGACACTATATAACCGAGTATAAACCCCGGTGCTGCCATAGGTTCCGCCTGACGTGTCCGATTGATTTATTCGAGTGATTTAAAGACCCCTGTCTCTATGTATCACAATGAACCTTGGCTGTTGCCTGAAAACGAAAACGCGGGTATAGGGGGGTTGGGACAGAGTTTCCTAAGAGCCCATCCTTGTGAGTCACGTTGGCTTGCCGTAGGGCCAAAGGTTTTCACTGCACGCATATCGAAGAGTGTGGAGTTCGGGGTGTGCGAAAGGGTATACGGGACCTACACATCCCTACGCATCCCATCTAGGAGTTGCAGAATATCGTCAGCTCGTCCTTGCTAGAACATTCGCCCACATCTAATAGAAACGGAATGCAAATCCAAATGCATTAGGCGCCCGATATCTAGACTCCTCCTAATGATTGCCCCTCCCCATAGACTACCCAAGATGGTACGGGCCAGATGTTTAAATATCAATGAAGGTAGGAGATTTCACACCTTGCCTGCTGCTCTAAGATTGTTCAATTTTAAATTTTCGGTAAATCGATCTCGACGATGGCAAACTTTACGGGAAGCTACATTCTGGACAAGAGCGAAGGCTTCGAAGAATACCTGATCGCCCGAGGTTAGTCTGTTAATATCTTGTTCATGTAGAGAACGAGAGTGAGAGAGAGAGAGAGAGAGAGAGAGAGAGAGAGAGAGAGAGAGAGAGAGAGAGAGAGAGAGAGAGAGAGAGAGAGAGAGAGAGAGAGATAAAGAGTAAGAGAAAAAAAGAGAGAGAGAGAGAGAGAGAGAGAGAGACGCGCGCGGCGAGAGAGAGAGAGAGAGAGACGAGAAAGAGAGAGAGAGAGAGAGAGAGAAGAGCAGAGAGGAGAGGGAGGAGAGAGAGAGAGAGAAGATTTATAGTTGAATGGATGAAGGGACGACGGACAGACAGACAGATAGATAGGGGTGTGATGTGGTGTGGTGTGATGTGGTGTGGTGTGTGTGCGTGGCGTGCGTGCGTGCGCTGCGTGCGTGCGTGCGGGCGTGCGTGTGTGTGTGTGTGTGTGTGTTGTGTGTGTGTGTGTGTGTGTGTGTGTGTGTGTGTGTGTGTGCGTGCGTGCGTGAGAGAGAGAGAGAGAGGAAAAGTGGGGAGCGAGCAGACTAAGAGAAAACCGAGAGAAGAGAGAGAGAGGGAGAGAGAGGAGAGAGAGAGAGAGAGGAAAGAGAGGAGAGCGAGAGTAAATGGAGAGGAGGCGCGCGAGAGCGAGATAAAGATAAAGACTGATGCATATATAGAGATACAAATAACTAAACTAACTAACGAACTAAATAAATCAATATAAATATATATGTATATATATATATATATATAATTTATATATAATATCAGGGAGTTAATAAAGACAAATGTCTTTATTAACTCCTGATATATATGATATATATATATATTTATTTATTTAGTTAGTATATATAATATATATATTATATATATATATATATATGTATATAATATATATACTGCTACGCTTCACACTGACTCCGCCATGTTCAGGTATCTCTGCCGAGAAGGCTAAGGCAGGTGCAGCGGCGGCGACGCAGATGGACATTGAACACTCCGGTGACCAGATGAAGATCCGAGTCTGCGCCGGTGACACGGAGATCAGCAACCTGACCCACACGATCGGCAAGCAGCTAGACGTTCCACGACCAGACGGACAGGTCATGAAGGCAAGTATAGAGTGTTGCTGACAGGGTCATCTCCTTGAAGAACATTGGTTGAATGAATAGGAAGAACCGTTACTTGAAGACATTTGGGCAATTATTCATGATTAACCCTATACAGTTATATTTACCCTAACTAATACGTGGTACCCCCATTACGTTCTATTGCAAGTATAAGAATCGTTTATTTATTCGTGCTTACTCGTTATTATTCGTGGTCTCGATATAATAGGGTCCCGTCGATGGCCAGCCTACGCGGTAGGGGGCGCTCTTTCAAACGGCATACCAGATCGCATATATATCATCAAGAGACCATTATGTATATAATGATATACGTGCTGTGGGCATACATTTTTTGTTGCAAACCTGGCGGTAGATAAGACCGACTCCCAGCTATTGTTGATAATAATAATGTGATCAGATTCGATTGAGATATTTATGATGCTCGTGTTGCTTGCGGTACTTTATAGGCGTTATCCATGCACCGAGATAAATACGGAGGTGGCAATAGGTCAGTGGAACGAGCTGGTATTCATTTATAGATTCGATTGGATAGATTTATAGGTTTCGATTGCAAGATTACCCTTTACTGCTACGAACAACGGTTGATCAACAATGGGTAGCAAATAACAATAAAGGAAATCCGAGCGAAACCGAGATATAGACACCATGCAGGTACATAAATAGGCCACGCGGACGATAGTTTTAGTTGGCGGAGATAAATAGAAAAGTGATGTATGTCTCGCAGACTACGCTGACGTTGGATGGCAAAAAAGCAGTCATGGAGCAGATTGATGGCAAGGGAGTCAAGGAGGTGATCGTGCGTGACCTGCAGGCAGATGGCTCCATCGTCGCAGTAAGTGCAAATACCACAATTGGATCTATAGATATTCTAATCTATAATACACATATGTATACGTGTAAAGATATCTATATTGGAAGCAGCAACAACGACGCGCTGCCTACATTCTCACCGTCCAACGCTCGCCCGCGCAGGAACGGGGCCATGGCTTGAATTTAGTGGTATCGGGAGTGTCTCTCTCCCTCTCTCTCTCTCTCTCTCTCTCTCTCTCTCTCTCCTCTCTCTCTCTCTCTCTCTCTTCTTCTTCTTCTCTCTCTCTCTCTCTCTCTCTTTTTATATATATATATATATATATATATATATATATATATATATATATATATATATGCATAGGGGAGGATGGAGAATCCTGAGTTTTGTTTGAAGGTTATCAACAAATTATTTTGCTGTTTAACTGGAACCTCACTAGCTAATGTTGTATTATTTCTTCTTACAGACAATGACATCTAATGGCGTCACGGCCACGCGTCGATTTAAGAAGAAGTGAATCACTCATCCGACATCACAGGCGCTGAGCGATCCAAGAGTTAGCCCGACAGCGTCGTTGCTTCGCAAGAATTTCCCGCGACTCTTTAAAAAGCATTAACCAGTCTAAAAAAACAGAACTCAATTGCATACTTGTGAAAAAGTGAACATTTGAATAATAAATTCGTCGTATCACTGTTCTCTAACATAGTGTCTATATTGGCGAATTCATTGTGGAGGACATAGTGTAATTGGGGTAATTGCCACGACCGTGTGATTACCATAAAGGCTACACAATACATTATATTTATTGTAACACATATTAGATTAAATTATAAATAACAAAATGAAAATGATAACATTTAAAAATAAAAGATTGCCGTATCGCGTTGTCGCCATATATTGGCTGATTTAAACTGCCAACACTAGGAAGTGTACCTGGTTCGGAGCCCGAAAGGAAAGGACGTAGTGCCGAAAAAGGGATGCTTGTATAAATGGGAGTGGTGTACCTTCAGGAGGTGCACATCGCAAGTCGCGACCTCGCTGCTTCAATATGGTGCTACTGTCCAGCTCATTTGTCCAGCTAGTGGATAAATGTGCGTTATGGTACAGAGCTAAACATAGCCCAAAGTGTTACAAACCTCCGTGGGAAAAAAAACAGTTTACAACGTCAACATCCTTTATACTTAGATGTGGCAGAAAACTGGAAGCAGTCGATGAAAACAAATTTCTGGGAGTGGTATACTCGACAAAAATGTTCACTTCAGCTCCAATGTAGATAACCAAAAGAATAAAGAGGAAACTCTATGCCTTACTGCTGCAGAAAATCCGTGGCGTTGACAAAACTAGCCTACTGCATAAATACCGAAGAGAGTTGCTACATTAAACAGGGGTGCTTTATAGTATAGTGCTTTATAGTAGTGTTTACAGTGATCTCAATTACGACGGTGTAATAAACAGTGTGAGTAAACGGATATAAGGATAACGAACACGAGCAGGACATCTTGAAATTGTGTATACAAATATTTATTCAATCATTCTCGAATCATTTACAAGTCGGTAAAAACCACTTCGGTGCAATAAACTGTATAGAATCACCATTTACTATAAATACATACACAACCAAACAACAACAACGACGACAACGACAACCACTGCGATGCAAAACAGTACCGGAGCGCTTTAGAGAGAAAGGGGGGCACTACATCGTAATAACTCGGTAATTGCAACTACGGGAAGCTGAGGAAAGCATCTTTTTTATAAACTGCAGGAAGGAAGATGCTGCACGGTTCCCGGGGTGTCATCGCACGATCACTTAGCGGGGAGAATACGTGACTCAACGTGCAAAAACGTGCTTCAAAAAACTCCCGTGGAAAGTACTTTCCGCCATCATTATCGTATCTGCTATGTACAAAACAGAAGCTACCAAACAATTGTTAGTCGTGTTCATTTCAACATTTTTCTGGTCCGAATTCCTGCAATATCAGATGGCTCGATTACGTGTCATGTTTCCTAACGTGTGTCTTAACCTTGGAAACTTACTGCAATGTTATTTCTGTTGAATAACTCACGTTGCTGTCACTTCTGATGGCGAGCATAACAAAGTTTAAAAATCCCTAGTCAGAATCGGGAATTTTAACAGAGGTGAGCACAACTGACCCACGCACACCTTGCTCGCACGCGACACGTCTAAAACCTATAAAAGCACATTTCCCGACATAGAACTACAACTACTACGCACACAGCACGACTGGGCACATCACTCTATTTTCTCACGAGCGCATATATTATATATACAGTTAGCATAGTGACTGAAGCCAGTGATAAGCAGTTAGCCTGAATGCCATCAACAGACAGATTGCCTGATTATAAAACAGCAGGTAATTTGCCTGCCTATCCATGGCAGATAGGTTGCCTGAGACTATCACGGTGATGTAGTATGCCTCACACTCACAGGTAGTTTGCCTGCTAACTGGTACACTAGGCTGCTATGCAAGCATTGCCATAGAGGTGGATGTATCCGTAGTATGGCCACGATGTGACCGGTATATACCGAACAGTGGTTAACTACAACCGTGTTAATATCACTTGGAATGAGACGATACATACGGACAACACTGTGAGATGAGGACACCAATGATAGCTCGCTACGACACAAAGCTCGGTGGCACTATCACCTAGATGCAATAGCACACTTAGTGAAAGGTATTGGCATTTAAAAAATGCATATTAGTAGAAAAGCTACAGATAAATGCACTGTAAGATTTTTCCCTGGATCTCGGTCAGTTCGTAACTGTTCCTCGAGAACAAATTTAAAAACGAACTAAAATCTCTGTTACAATTAAGTGAAACCCTTGCCCATGTACGACCATTACCATTTTCTGGACATCCTTTTACTAAACTACTGTTGTCATACAGCTAATAGAGGGCCCAAAAAAACACTTTTAGCAACCCCGATAACACGTGGTAATCTAAAACAATACAGTATATATTATAAACACGATAAACATTGAGATCCAGCTGAAATTTACAATCAAAAAGCTTTGGTAAAACATACAAAAAAGAGGGACGTAAGTGACATAATTAATATTGGAGTGTACGTACACATACGTCGAACGCAACCTTCCAGATGGTCCACATTGTACAACCGTTCACCCTGTGATAGAGAGCTCCTTTCTCTAGCAATCACAATTACATGATTGTAGGTGACCATATACTTCCCCCCCCCCCTGATTCCATCCTTGTCTACCACCCAGACTATAAAATGCGACACCGCTTGCGCCACCTGCTGGCCAATCATGAAAACTTGATTTGTCATTGGACACCAATCGTTGTTACAAGTCATTGCGATTGCAACGATTAAATTAAACGTAGCTTCGACGCTAGGCAGCTCGACGCTAGGCGGCTCGACTTGCGATCCCCTTAAATTGATCAAGTTTACTCCGTGGTCCCAATTTTACTCCCTTTGGTGGCCTCGCCTAGATTGCTCACCGTGGTTTCAATCACACATGCAGGCAAAGAGAGAGAACCCTCTGGTGTCCCCACACTTCAACCGAGCATAAGCCTGACCCAAAACTTTGTCCCGACCGACCCTGCAAATCACTACATATCGATCGTCAGTTCTATTTCAAAAACTAAACCGAGGGTGAGGTTACGAACGATTTCCCGTGGCTAGATCTACAAAGGCGGTATCATGACTGCAAAAACAACCCTAAAACTTCCACACCACCCATCAGATGGCGACATTACGTCACAGCAATCTGCTATTGGTGACGTGTATCGAGACCGCGGCTTTCGCTGATTAGTCGTGACAACGTCGCCCATACTTTGCCATGGCGCCGTGTGGCACGAGTCACACCCTTGCACCTTTATACTGACCAGAGCACTCCCAAGAATTAAATGAGTTGCACTTCTTTGATACGTCTGCCCTTGCCTGACGGACGACTTGCACAGCGTAGAAAACATCACAAGTTGCAGTGTTACAGTCGTGCGTTTCACTGTCTTTATCAGCGATTACCCTTGACGCAACCTTGAACCGCGCTCAAATACAACCAAGCACCCCTCCCTACCTTCGCCTGCAATGGAAACGTGACACTGCGCTCGTGTGTGTGTGTGTGGGGGGGAGGAAGTTCGTTGGTGCTTCAGGGATTAAAAGGAAGCTGCATGATTTTTTTTTTGTGAGGCAACCATGCAACCTGCTCTAAGGCAAACACATCAGATCGCACCTGATCCCTCCACAGCAATATTGCTGACTACGCATGCTATCATAGCTTTTGCCCTCGCTTTCTGTCTTCGGTTTGGATAGGACCAGCCTAGATAAAACGCGTTAACACGGTGGATGTGCTTGATGTTCCCGTAGTAATGCTTGAGCTTCATCGTCACTGTGCGTAGCACTACTGCGTAAGATGTAACCATCCAGGCCATCATGGCATGTCACCATGCATTGTATCACGATGTCTGGCGTCACTCTGCATAGCACTGTGTGGTGCGTAGGGTGTAACAATTCTCGGCACCACGGTCTAACTCCGAGTGGCTACTCTAGTGATTCATCACCGTGCGTGCTATCACTGTGCATAGCACTGCCACGCATCCTTACTGCCATAGAATCCAACGTCACTCTCTCGTCATCATCTATGACTCATCATCTATGACTCATCATCTATGACTCATCATCTAATGCTAGGCAGTTAATGTTCGCAGTGTCCCAGCGAGTATTTTTTTTACACCAATCCTACCAAGGCACGACTCCTGCTGACTGTGGTCTGCGTAACTGTACGGACATCGAGCGTGGTATGGTTCGTATGCCACGAATACAGCTGCCAACCCTGTGTGCTCCTGTCATTGTCACACGTTCTACAGGCGTTCCTTCCCCGGCTCGCACTTGGAGGTTAGATGCCGGCACCATTGCAACACAGACCCGGCAGATTCGCACACGATGCCGCCGCTCGCGTGCACGAGTGTCGCACACCACACACAGTCGACGTCATTGTCCGACAAACGAGTAACGAACGGCCTACGCGGAGACGCAGGCACAGCGGCATTAACATCGTGCGACACAGCCACGAATCAAGTGGAAAGTTTGCGTTCAGGGCTGCGGTCAAGATGCGGTCGGCCGTCTCGGTGGATGCCGGAGCTGCACACACGACAATGTCTGCTGCACAGCGCACACGTGCCAGAGAGGCCGATGGCGTGCATGCGAGCAGGCAAGCCGAAGTAATTGCCTAGTAGTCGAATTCCCTAGCAACAGGTTTGTGCAGGCGGGTTGTGAAACTCGCAGCAGCACCAGTCGTTATGACAAATGCTCCGTCCATTTAAAAAAAAGGCACGACGGAGCGGGATAAAATTTCCTAGAGCCGCAGTGGCGGGTAGAGAGAGAGAGAGCTTCCTTCGTCCATCATTCCGTCCAGTTGATCGGCGACGGAGGAAGCTCTGAGGCATGTGCAACGGTTGAGCTGAAAGAAGAAATCGGAGAGTTAGCCTCCAGGTCAAACTAGCAGCTACACGATCACCGGCCACCTTCGCGCTGCAGCAACAATTACAGGAGTAGAAGTAGCAGAAGCATCAGCAGGATTCAATGAGTAGCAAGCCTGATAGATCTGCCAGCATAGGTAGCAAATGGCAAGTGGCCAAGGATTTATTTGTAGAAATACAGACAGCAGTGCTATTCACTCACTATGCTACTCATGTACATTAGTGTGATTAGTTGCTAGACATGGTTACAAATACCCTCCGAATAATAACCCCATGTACAAACACCCCCCCCCCATGCTATTGAATCCCCCCCCCAAACACACACACCTGGACAAACACCCACTGGACAATTGCCCCCATGATCTTTGAAAAAAGATATTTTAAAAGAAAAATGTAATATACTATAATATTTTTTCTGATATTTATTCATAATCATTTTCAGTGAAAATTTCAATGGATTTGTTGACAGACGCACTCACGGTCAAGTTCCTCTCAACAAGAAAAATAAATATAACTGAAACAGGTACACAATGAATAATAAACAACTGCAGGTGAGTGTCAGGGTCTGGGGTGATAGCCAGGGAGGGTCACATCCAGGGAGTAATTATCTGTAGGGGGGGGGATTGTCCAGGGGGTACCTGTGTTGATACAGTCAGACATACACACCACCGACTATCACCACAGCAAAGTACAGCACTAGCTACTTTTGTACAGGCAAAATGCTGCAAATAGTCACGTGTTTAAAAAAAAAAACAAGCTATAAAAAGAGACAACTAAGTTTAAATTCAGTGCCACTATGGCTAGTGTAAAAGAAAACTGAAGATACACTTTCTTGAATTTTCAGTGCATAATTTCTACATATTATAATTGTTATAGTTTGTAAATGAGCAGGTCGTAATACATAGGAAGCAGCCATTTGCAGCATGTTTGCATTAAAACCGTACTGGGTTAGCCATTCATGTTAGATTGGGCGTTGTGAGTGCTTGTCACCCGTCTCTAGGTGGCGCTACCATCAGCAACCTTATATCAGAGGGTATGTTCCCAGTCAACCTTCAACATAAAAGTACCACAAGGTTAGTAGCACTATGCTAAAGAACAAGAGACAGCGACAGCGATGAGTATGATATATATAGAAGACAGGCAAGTACTATCCAGTAATCAGGGATAGCTAATCAGCAGAGAAGAAGCATTTAGTGTTAAAAGTGTTTTGAGTTAGTAGAGTTAAGGCATCAACACCACAAAACCACATAACCAGCGCTAACGATCTGCAACTACTGTTAAATTCACAAACTAATAAGAAAACCTAATTAATCCATTTTAGGCCTATTAAGCTTTCATGGTAAGTAACTTTTTCTTCTACACTGATTATTTTAATTTTAAAGGTTTGGTGAACATGCATGCAGACAAGTCTATGTGTCTGTACCTATGCCTACGTGTGTGAGCATGTGTGTGTTTGCAGGTGCTTGGGCATATAAGCGTATATATGTACAAATTCATGAGCTGCGGTCACCTTCAATTTGCTATCCAAACCAGATCACAGACTGGTTGGGGGTCAACCAGCTTTGCACGAGTTCTGTTTTCGCAGCGTAAACATTGAGAACATCGTGTGAGAGCAGAGGGGCTTTTACTATGCCATATTATAGTTCTGCGCATCCACGCACTTCGCGCATGCAGACTGAAGGTGTACAGTACCTTTGGAAGCTCTTATAAGCTGCCGAGTGAGGGTTGATGCACAGTGGTACGCCATTACCCAGGTGCCTCTCCATGACGAACTTGTGCAGGCGTTCTACGACGAAACAAGTCACAATGGTTAATTACCGTGCTACTAACAAGAACTATACTTACACTGTAGCAAGTTAATTATTGTACAAGCTCAGAAAATAGTCATTAAATTTCTCACAAATGCCAATTAATCTATTAATTGTCCTGATTTGTAACTCAAAAATAATTCCAAGTGACAGCAAAATGTTGCTGGCACAATGATTTTAGACAAATGTTTGACAAATTTGCAAAGCACATCAGTTTTCTTTCAAACAGATAAAATTGGAACAAACAAAAGAATAACAGCATCATGCATATATAAACTTATCACATGGACTATAACACTGAATGATGCGCATCATGTGTGCTTACCGAAAATACTTAAATACTTTACTTGAATACTAAAATTCGTAGTAAATATGTGCCTGCATATGGTAACCAAGTTAATATTACATCTCCAGTACACTCAGTATGCAGACACGCACGCACGCACACGCGCGCGCGCACGCACGCACGCACACGCGCGCGCGCACGCACGCACGCACGCACACAAACATATTTGCAAATAGATGACATTGCGTGTTGAGATTGCCGCATTTGCATAAAATCAATGTTCTTCTGTTTACGCGCAAGCCTATCTATAATGAGCTTGACTGCGGCCTTCCCCGAAAACAATTCTCGATGGGTTCTGGCCACACAGATGGTGTAGGCTGCTGTATGCAGTCACTGCCCTTGCTCCCATTGGACATTAAAGGTTATCATCTACTCTCAAAAACACGTTATGACCAACGTTGAACCTAAGCATTCTTTGCGTTGCACCGACATATAAATTTTTTTTTTATTGAACATAGTGAATATTTTAATGCCACCTCAATTTTGTTGGCCAACGCACACGCACATATATCCGCGAGCACCCTATCAGAGTGACCCTATGCTAGCGAGTTCTCATAAGACTATACAGTTGCTGCCCCCCAGTGGAAATGAACTGTACTACTAACTGTGGATGATAAATCATCGAAACAACCCGTAAGTGAGACTGCGTTCTGCAAGCTCCTCGGGCCAGGCGCTCTAGGTTAATATTGATCGCGCAGTGCCGCCACCTGAACGCAGTGAACTGTACTACGCTCGAATTATACGCTCTCGGCTGCGTAGCGTAAGTGAGAGTTTCTTTTACGGTTCACGCAATGCTGCCTCCCTCTGGTGGCGGTGAACCGCATCGCATCACTGGGTCACATCGCAGACGAAAACAAACGGCGTTCAACCACCGGTGCTTTCGTGTAGTGACCCACCAGCGAGTTCTGGTACTGCTGGCGAGTCTCCACCGCGTGATGCATGTCGTCTGCCAACCACCTCCCGCTCGTACGCAGCAATTCTACATGCTGTATCTCTTCAACTCACGCGATCTCACTCCTTTGCGGTTACGCAGCGGCAACCTCGCTCGCTAGGCATTTGACATCTACTTGCCATACCGCACTGCCTACTCTCCTACACATACCCCTACTCTCTCACATCTACTCCTACCTTCCCAAGTCTAGTCCTACTCTCTCACATCTACTCCTACCTTCCCAAGTCTAGTCCTACTCTCTCACATCTACTCCTACCTTCCCAAGTCTAATCCTACTCTCCTACACATACTCCAACACGTACTCCTACTCTCTCATATCTACTTCTATATATATATATCAAGAGTACATAATAGAGATTATTATCTCTATTATGTACTCTTGATATATATCTATTCCGAGTTCAATGCAGCAGCTGTGCAGCTACAAGAACTGCGGCTGCCTCGCGTTAACACAGTGCTTGTAACACAGTCCCGCCCGTTCGGCTTCCTGACACCGCTGCGACCCGGACCCCACCGCTCGCTCGCTCGCTCGCTCGCTCGTGGTGCGACGCACGCACGGACATGGCGTACCCGACTACCCTCACCGCCGCTACGGCCGCACTTAACCGTGTCTCGTGCGCTGACACAGATGTCGGGTCACACGCCGGCAATTTACGCGGCGGCGGCGGCCGCGGTGAACCGATGTCACATCGCTGACAGCGCGGTGAACGCGTGAACACCTACGCTACCGGACATCATTATTATTTTTTTTATTATTAAATCTTTATTGCATGTAATCAAGAGCCCATTAACCCCAGAGCCCGGTGGTTAATGGGCTCTTGATGTAATGTAATTCAGATACAAATACATGTACTGACGTGTCGCATGCGCCACGTCTGCGCGAGACGAGAAAAACAAAACAAAACCATATGACTCGTCTTCAGTTCCCGCAATAGATATCCCTGTAGATTTCTCTATCAGCTGCCACTGCCATTAAAAACTGATCGATGATCGGAAACTAATGGATTTAAATCAGTCATCAATGAAAGGAGGCAGTGCAAAACACGAAAAACAAAGTTTCTACGATTCGCTTAAGGATACTCTCAAGGTTTTAGGCAAAATTTTACCGATTTTTTATTTTCAATTTTATTCGATGGCTATATAACACTATGTGCCACCTCCGTACATGCTCATTTCTTTATATAACGGTACATGTGAACTGTCAGAGCGATTTGATTCCCCGCATACATGTGTAGTAAGCAGCGGCTGACGTCATGATGACGTCAGAGACATGATACAACCACGATATTCACTAAGCCAGTATCATTCAGCGTCAACCCTGCTACAGCTGTCATTACATGTATTCATGTACATTCACGTACATCTGCTAGTGATCCAACAAGTATCCCATGCTCAAAATAGTTCTAACACCTCGCAACACACCTTACTGTAGTGCCGTACAAGGCGCGCGTTTGTTGACATATTAGCTTTGTGACGTCAGGATGAGCGGAGTTCGCGCGTTCTGCGATTTTAACCTCGTAATTTCTCAGAATTTCTCAGGGTGCATGGAACATTTTAACAATTTAGTGGTGTCAGTTAGTCACGGATATGTCGCAGTAAGTACTAACAGTAGATATTTCACATACGTTCACCATTTTTCACACAGGCGGTCGATCATTGTGAAAAATAGATAAACGCTCATTTCTCCGTTCCAATTTCTGACTTAGTAGCCGATGTATAAATGGATATTTCTCTGTAATTACAACTCGGATTAATTTAATTTTACACTCGTTTTAATGGTAACATATTGCTGACATAAGTGCGTCAGGGATTGTTATTAAGTGCCGTATTTTATTAGTTATGCCTCTTTATTCGCTAAAATTTCTAACACACAACTTGATTTTTAAGCAGTTTTTCCATTTTTCTTGGTAAATATAAAACTTAAAGAAAAATCCTGACGCACTATTTTGGTCCATATTGTGCTTAACATGCAAAAATGTTGTATCCTCACTCTTTCTGGTAGTTGAGAAATATCCAAAATACCATTTTTACATAAAAATTCAAAATTTGTGTGGTAACAAAATTAGGTGCTGGAAATTTTATGAATTTTTTGGCCTTGAGCATAGAGATATATCTCCATAAATAAAACAAGTGATTCATTCGATTCATTCGTCAATAAACGTTTAATCTTCATTAGAGCAATACCCGTGCAAAAGGTGGAGAGTATCCGTAAAGTTATACTAGTTTCTACTAGTTACGCGATAGCTAGAAGACTAATAACACCTGCACTAGGAGTGCATCACAATCAAAAAATGTTACATAAAATTTATTCAAATCCATCCGTGATTTTTTAATTTACTACTCTCTCTCGCGTACATATTTCATCACATATAACCACACTTGCACGCCTTACATACGCCAATACGCGAAGAGTGTGTATTATTGCTCAGATCTCGCGTATTCTGGCCTTTGACCCACTTGTAGGTCACTCAATTTAACAAGCTAAGTCAGGAAGTATTACCACTGTACGAAACAGATGCACACATGTACTGCTATATAAGGTTACACACATTTGCTTGCAGCACACGTATAATATATATATACAAGGACTTTTTAAGATTTACCAAAAAATAAGTACTAAAATAAGGCCCTTGTTTTATTTTTAGGTGAACTAAGTATATAAGAACTTTGAAAGACCCTACGAAACTTGCGCTATTACACTTCCCCACATGTTACCCTTGGATTTTGTGAGAATGGTGGAGAATTTTTTGCACACAATCGCAAAGATCCGATGGCAAATCCACCCGCAATTTGTTGCACTCTCCCTCCAAGCCAGCAGCATATACCCATAACCTAACCCGTCAAAGACACGATCCACGACTTATAGAAATGACGGAGTAGAACACAGAACCGAAGCGAGACGGCCTCCCTCTCCACAGAAAAAGAAACGTGTTTGCGCTTTACCTTTGACCCCTGGTAGACGTGTCTTCAAGTCCCAGCCTCAGAACGCGTCGCTGAACGTCAGTGAAAGCCACCGTCTCAAACGAATCGCCGGTGTACTGTCCGGCCGGCACTGTCCGTTTGTAAGCAGCACTGCACATACACCAAGTGGTAGCACGCGCGGCCCCGTCCAGGTAGGGTGTGCCAGCGCATCCTGCACAGATGCGTTATTCTGCATGCGAGAGAGATAGTGAGGTGAGATGGTAAGAGAGAGGAGGGGGAAGGAGAAGAGAGAGAGAGAGAGAGAGAGGGAGAAGAGGGAAGAGAGAAGAGAGTGCGGAGAGAGAGAGAGAGAGAGCGAGGGAGAGAGTGAAAGGGAAAAGATAAGAAGGGGAGAGAGCGAAGAGAGAGACTAGACAAGCAGAGGCAGGGGAAAGAGGATCTGTCAATGGGGTGAAGCAGAGGAGAAGAGAATGAGGAACGGAGAGAACAGGCTGTGTGAATCTAGCGGAAATGGTAATCGAGAGACTTGAACGATTGTAAAAGAGAGAGAGGGAAATAGAGAGAAAGGATGAATTATTGAATTGACACAACGCGAGAGGCCGGAGCTTATAGCAAACACATATACGCAAAGACCATAAAAGAACCATATACAAGAAGAAATCGAATCACTGGACCAACCTAAAAATAAACTACAGCCCGCATCTCAAGCACCCCCTTCAGCATATACATGACAATGCTGTGGCAGCACTGACGTGCTCACACCGGACTCCTAAGGGTTGAAGACAACCCCCTAACTAAAACTTAGAGAAAAGCCTTAGTTAGAAAATGCTCATAGGCCTCCTATGTTACCCCAGGGTATGCCCGAACGTACCCTGGACGGTCCGGTATACCGTGAAGCGTACCCCCAAAACCCATAGGTCAAACTATCTACTGATATGGTTAGGGTAGGTTAGGTTAGGGTTAGGTTAAGGGGTTAGGGAGTAGGCTGAGGCCGACTTCGCTAGACTCGTTAGTGGATGTAGACGAGGTACGGTACGAGCATATTTAGATAGAGTATTTAGTACGAGGGTACGTTCCGGTATACCGGATCCGTACCCAGGGTACGTTCGGCAGTACCGCTGCGGGACATAACCCTCTCCACTCTAGAAAAACCCCTACAGATTTCTTTGAGGCATCAACTTATAAACAATAAATAAATGCACGCGCTCCTCACATCACAAGCACAACTAATATACATGGCTACCATCTACCCGCGGACGATGTTACAACACAAAATCATGCGAGGGTGCCCTTGACTAAACACACACAGCACACACACACACGCACGCCACGCACGCAAACGCACGCACGCACGCACGCAACACGCACAACGTACAACACACGCACGCACGGTCATGCACGCACGAAGCACACACACACTACAGCACACGCCGCAACGCTACACGCAATCAACACGCACCGCACGCACAAACATAAACAACAACACGCGAAACGCACACGCCGGCACAGCACGCACGCACGCAACACAAAAAATCAGCAACAAACACATGTATCAAAAAACACGCACGCGCAAAAACACGCACGCACGCACGCACACACACGCACGAAACGCACCCAGCAACGCACAACAGCAACACCCGAAACCCACCAAACAAACACACAACAACAAACAGCATGTACACACAACACACACAGCACACACACGCCGCACTGCCAACAAAAAGCAACGCCACGCAACACAACCTTGCCAGTCTACGATCGAAGCGAAAATAATACTAATCTGCGAACTGAACTATAAAAAGGCGGGGCTACTAAAATTATTAAAAATTCAACTCATTCTGCGATGCGTATTTTGCGACTTAATGTAGCGCGGAACACGAGACAAAATCGAGAGTGCGATAAAACGGGCGATGACTCACGGGTTTGAAAGACGAGCAAGAAAACACAGAACGAAATGGCTGTCGTAGTCGTTCGCCTGTTTGACAAGCTGTGGTAGAGGATTGGCGAGCGAAAAAAAGCGCCGCCATAAACATGTGACGCAAGCATGCCTCGCTCCTCGGCCGTCGCATGTCCCTCTGAGCGTGGGGCGTGGCCCAGCAGTCCGTGATCAGACTCCAGCTGGCAACGGCAAACTGACAGCAATTCGTCAACCAGCTCGATCGTCACAACAGCAGTCGATACATCGTAATCGTGATCACTGTCTAACATTCGATCATGCGATCTGGTCGATGGCACGCTACATTCAATCATGCCGGACTGTAGATCATCATATCCGTTAATTCATCGTTCTACATCGATCATTCGGACTGTCGATCTATCATACCGTTTTCACGTCTATACTCCGATCAATCGGACTGTCATCATCATAACCGTAATTCACGTCTAGTACCAATTCATACGGACCGTAGATCATGCATAAGTAGCCGTTTAATCCACGGTCATACACTCATCATCGACTGTAGCATCATCAACCGTTAATGCAACGTCTACATCTCGATCATGCGGGCTGTCGATCATTCATACTGTTTTACACGTCTACACTCGATCATTCGGACCTGTCGATCCATCATACTGTAATCAACGTCTTAACGACTCGACTCGGTCGACTGTCGATCATGCATACTGTTATCACGTCTACAACCTCGATCATCGGAACTGTTTTATCACGGTTCTACACACTCTGATCGTTGACTGTCGATCATCATAAGAAACCGTTAATCACAGTCTACACTTGCATCGACTGTCGATCATCAACACTACCGTTAATAACTGTCTACACTCGATCATACTGGACTGTCGATCATCAACCGTTAATCCGTCTACACTCGATCAGTCAGATCTGTCGATCAATTATAACGTTAATAACGTCTACAACTCGATCATCGGACTGAGTCGCATCATCATATACCGTTAATCACGTCTATACTCGATCATCGGACTGTCGATCATATACCGTTAATCACGGCTACACTTGATCGTTCGGACTGTCGATCATACTATAACGTTAGACTTGCACGTCTTACACTCCGATCGTCGGACTGCATCCGATCATCGTTACCCGATAATCATCGTCTACATCCGATCGTCGGACATGGTCGATCAGCTGGTGCAATTGCATAAAAAAACATAATTAAAACAAACCTGATATAATTAACAGAGCCGGCAGAGCGTCTGGCTCAATCTGAGGTCTGTTGCTACGATTATAAACTGTAAAAATCAGTCGGTGGTATACGCACTTGTTAGGACGCAGAATGCAGACAACGATCCAGTTGCGTACACATCATGTTAGGAAAAATTGCGCCAACTATCTGCAAGATGAGGTTGGGGAGGGGACGGCGGGAGGGGTGGGAGAAGGGGCGGGGGGAGGAGGGGAGGGAAGGGGGGAGGTGGGGAGAGGGCTTCTAATAGCAAAAGCAGTTTCACCTCCATTGTTAACAGTCACAAATCCATGTTTAACTCCTCCTCTGAGGTCAAAAGTTATCAACACTTACCTCTTCGCGACGTCAGCTGGAACAGGCAGATTATCATGGTCCTTTCAATAAAAGCCTATAAAAATATAGGTCACCCGCTGATACAAAAGAAAGTTTTTCAATCGCGTCCGTCAGACCCATGTCCTCAGAAAATGTCTAAAAAATCTGCCCTGTGCCTCATTGGACCTTTGAACCTGTGAACCGTCCCAATTTCGGCACAGTGATGGCTTTTCCTACCATGATTGCTAGTACACCCTGACTATCACGAGTCCTAGGTCGAGTCCGTTTACGATTTGTGCCGCAATTCTGCATTTCCTCCCTATACCTTAAGTTAAGGAGTGGAATGTCCCCTTCTTTTAACCTCTGTGACCTTTGAAACCTGCCTTCGTGACAGCCCAGCTTCAACATACCCAACTCGTTTTCGATTACCCCCCCCACGTCCCGAAATATCGTGACCGTACGTCGACGCAGTTAAGATTTGTGCCTCAATCGTGTTTTGACGGACGGACGGACGGACGGACGGACTGCAACGGCAACGACGACGATCATTGCGATTCTACAGCTGCATCTGACTATGCTCAGATGGCTAAAAAGGGAAACCATGTGCCCTTTGTAGACAGGTGCCCGTTTTATAGAGGTGGTTACTTGTACAATTGTTACCACAAAGAAAAAAAACCAAGAGCACTTTATAAGCAGCGAGCATGTCTATAGTGTGTCGGCTAGACACGTTAGAATGCATTTACTTGCAATCAAAATTTGTGTTCAATGCCGATCCTGTTGATCACTTATATAGTGAATCACGTCAATTGCGATGTTGGATTTGTTTGAATGGAATGTGTTGATTGGAAGTTATGTTGCGCAAGGTTCTTTAATTACTGCCCAGATTCCTTAATGTGCTCTGGGTTTCCTTAAGCTAGGCCCAAAGTGTTGTTAATATCATGACCTACTGAAATGTTACTGAAAGGATATACAAGAGTAAAGGCTAAACGCTTCCATTAGGAAATAGGAGTTGTTCCAACTCTTGAATATTATTTATATATTAAATGCCTGCTGTTGGGGGCACTAGTGCTCTCATAGTGTTGCTGAAGTGGAAGAATAGTGCCCGAGCGGTAGCGAGGGCAGCTATTCCTTCCCAATTACTTCCTTCCCATTAATTGTTTTCTTAGTGCATCTACATGACTATGCACTTAATGCAATCTACTGTTTCATGCTTATATACCTTCTTTATACCCTACAGTTTGCCGGTGCAAATTCGATGTAACAAAATCGGTTCGCGAAATGGCCGGTCGGTGCATTGTGTACAAACCAGCAACCGCCGTTTCGAAACTTGCGTGCGTCCCAAGCAGGAGATTCGTGACGTAAACACAATGCGTTATAATAACAATGCTCGGCGCAAGCGATAAGCGCCCGCCTCAGGCGGGCACAATCCGCTTCATAGACCCATGGGTGTAATGCAGGGGGCGGGCGTCGTGAGGGTCGTACGACCCGGCCAAAATTTTAAAAGGTCCACATTTTTCCAGAAAGACATTTTTTTTCGAGGGCCTTTGTTTAAATGATCACTAAATGGAAAAGATCAGGTACTGCAGCAATGAGTCCAAATACATGCCATTGCGTGACGTAAAATCGTATCCCAATACCAGCAATTCTGAAAAAGCGAGTCTTTTGTTTTTAAACA